CTCCATCAACATCCCCGTCTACTTCACCAAGAGTGGCTTCCACCCAGACCCCCGGCAGAAGGCCCTGTACCGCCGGCTTGCCACGGTCCACATGTCCCGGAGTGAGTCCTCCCCTGCAGCCAAGGCCCTGGGCTGGGGGTGGGCAGCAGAACCCTGCGCCCAGAGAGGCTGGGCTTGCCATCCTGCCCACCCTTTATGGTCTCCCTGGACGCCTGGTGTGTAGAGCTGCAATGCAGGGGATCGGAGAGTGAGAGGAGTCGGGTAGGAAGAGCTGGGGGGGACAAGAACTTCCGAAGGGGCGGAGGGAGGCAGTGCCTGCAGGAGGGGAGGGCCCGGGCTTGGCTCGTGCACAGTGTAGGGCTGGATAGAAGCAGATACCCAGGAAGAAGGTGGGAATGGCCAGTGGGTGGTGAGCAGAGGGGAGCCTGGAGGGCCTTCGAGACCAGGCTGTGGTCTCTGCAGTTGCTGTGTGTCAGTTCAGCCCTGGGAACAGACACTGTATAGACTTGCTGCTGTTTGGGGAGCTGGTGTGTGTGGGTGTCTCGTGGGTCAGGGCTGACTCTCAGGCAGCCTGTGTGTTCTGTGTGGCCGCGCCATGAGCCATTGGTTCCTGGACGGTGATAGGGAACCAGTAACCAGATGAGGTCTTCCGTGCAAGGACTCCCCCCATGCTCATCTGGCTGGCCACCTGGGTAGTGCTGGGGCCCCACTCGTATCTCTTGATCTGGCGAACGAACTTCTGGGCCTTCAGGTGACCCTGCAGAGCTCTGGATCAGGGCTGGGCATTTGCAGCTCCCGAATCAGCCTCGTATGCAACAGGATTTCTCTGTCAGCGTATCTTGTTAACTATCTTTAAAATCTCACTGTGGGGCCGGCAGGTGGTGTGGTTAAAGGTGCTGGACTCCCATATGGCCAACCATGGTTTGAGTCCCGGCCCTGGCGGCTTGTTTTCTCACTCCCCCCCTCCCATCCTGTCTCTCTGTGGTCAAATTAGAAACAAAATGATAATGATGGTAATAAATGAAATGAGATAAAGTAATTTTAAAAACCTCATTGCGCAGTGACTAGCCCAGATGCGGAACACGGCAGCCCGTCTCCTCCCAGCCTGCTCCCGTGGGCAGTTGCTCTCACCTTCCTTTAGCCTTGTCTTCTGCCACTATCTTCCGCGGCGCTCAGGGACAGGCGGG